AAACATTGGATGACGTAGTTCTGAAGTTCATTGGAAGTGACTGGTGGATAGACCTCTTATGAGACTTTGTGAACAAGTATGATGCATTTCATGGCAACTTAATCTTAGATGCAAAAATGTCAATAGATATTCATAACTATTCTAATGTTATATCTCAGACACTTTGTATCCTCACTCAGTTTCCCTACCCATCCTACAACTCCCCCATCCCAGGTGTTACAATCCTTGTATTCACCTTCTTATTATCATGTGCATGCCGCTTGAACTTTCAACTCCACGTCTTGTGTCTTTCCTTCTCTCATCCATATTTCTGACCTACGACACAAATGTACTGAGCATTTCCCATGTGCCAAGTATTGGGCAAGTTGCTGCCCATGCGGATAACAGTCCTCATCCACCCCCCACTTGCCCCTGGGAGTAAGTTTTCTAGAGGAAGAAATAAGCATGAAAAGAGTCACCATAATAAAGGTGGTTAAGGACTAACACACAGAGGGCAAAGTGCTATAAGAGCATAGGGAATTTTTTTTAATTTTATTTATTTATTTATTATTTATTTACTTACTTATCAGAGAGAGAGCACAAGCAGAGGGAGCTGCAGGCAGAGGGAGAAGCAGCTCCCCACTGAGCAAGGAGCCTGATGAGGGACTCGATCCCAGGACCCTGGGTTCATGACCTAAGCCGAAGGCAGATGCTTAAGCAACTGAGCCACCCAGGCACCCTGTGTAGGGGATTTTTTTTTTCACATTTTTCCCTGTGCCTAGAGTGTCACTCTCCCACGTCTCCCCTCCCACATCACTGGTAATATTCTACTTGCCCTTTAACAATTGGGCCCACATCTTCCTTCTCCAGGAAGTTTTTCTAAATGTTTTCTGTTTAATCTTTTCTCCCACTTCCCCACCCCAACATGCTTCTCATAGGATTTGTTGTAATTCTCCACTAGACTGCATGCCTCTAGGTCAGGAACTCTACCATTTCCATTCTTGTGCCCTCATACAGTTCTTTAAACGTTGTAGGTTTATTGAATGGAAACATCTGTCCTTTTTTAGTCACGACATCCCCCCACTCACACCCCACACTTCAGCACATGATTTATTTCCTCTCAAAGATCTCAAAGTCATTTCTTGTGCTGTTCTTTACCGATATATTGCGGTAGGTTGCCACGGCTACCGCTATGTATTAGAAATGTTGTTCTGTTGAACTTCTCTCTTTTGAATTCAAAATGAGGAAATGATTGGTCAACTAAGTGGATGACTCGTTTTCTAGTCAGACAAGTGTTCACAGTGAAAATCAGCTTACCATTAACCATTTCTCGTATTTAGACACATTTTTTTTTTATTCTTTGGATATCTAGATTTTTGTTTGTACCTTTTTTTTTCTGATTCCAAAGAAATGATTTTGAAATCTGCAGTATTTATTTATTTATTTATTAATAATTTTTTTATTGTTATGTTAACCACCATACATTACATCATTAGTTTTTGATGCAGTGTTCCATGATTCATTGTTTGTGCATAACACACAGTGCTCCACGCAGAATGTGCCCTCTTTAATACCCATCACCAGGCTAACCCATCCTCCCACCCCCCTCCCCTCTAGAACCCTCAGTTTGTTTTTCAGAGTCCATCGTCTCTAATGGTTCGTCTCCCCCTCCAACTTACTCCCCTTCATTCTTCCCCTCCTGCTATCTTCTTCTTCTTCTTTTTTTTCTTAACATATATTGCATTATTTGTTTCAGAAGTACAGATCCGTGATTCATCAATCTTGTATTCACAGTGCTCACCATAGCACATACCCTCCCCGATGTCTATCACCCAGCCACCCAATCCCTCCCACCCCCCACCACTCCAGCAACCCTCAGTGAAATCTGTAGTATTTATTTTTAGGAATACTTTATTGTGCTTAAAAATATACTGTGTATCTCAGGTGCATGTGTCAAAGGGTCTACAGATGCAACTGCTTATAAGAATTAGAGTTTATCACACATGATAGGCTAAAGTTAATGGTTATTTATAGTTCACCAATGCCCCAAAGCTACCCCTACCATGCACGTGCACACTTAGAATGTAAAATATTTCTTTCTTATCTTTTTCCAACATGCTGTAGGTCTAATAACTTTGAAATGGCTTTTTATTTCTTGTTACTCCTTTTGGTTAAAACTAGTTAATTTAAATTTTTTGAATGGTCAGCTTTTTCTGAATAGTAGATTAGACCCAAAACTTTCCCACTGATTTTTGTGGAATATTCCTTAATTTGAAATATTTTTCTAGACAAAGCAGCTCCAAGAAAAACTTGTCCCTGGCCTACATTTTTGTCCTTTATGGAAAGAAGATCTCACAAGAAAGCATACTTATACCACTGACTCACAGGCCCACTGAATACCCTAAAGCATATCCAGCTCATGGGTTTGGTTAAGAGGAAGAAAAAGAGAGAGCTAGCAAGAGGTCAACACACACCTATTTTGTACCATTTTCCTTGCTGTTTAGATGTGTCTGATTCTATTTCTCTGTTCATGATAAGTCCGTAAGAGTTGACCCTTGGTTTTAGTCAGTGCTGTATTCTCAGAACCTCAAACAGCGGCTGGCACATGGTTTATGATTAATACTCAAGGGTGAATGAACTAATGAGTGAATGAATGAAAAGGCTTTGAGTTAGAAGTGTTTCTTCATATTTGTAGCACATACTGTGAATCCTAAAACAAATGTGTTTAAATAGTTTTTACAGAAATGATACTTGATAAGTCAAAAAATAAGTTTCTTTTACTACATTCTTAAGAAATGCTTTTGACAAGTACAGGACTAATTGTTAACTTCTTATCCTGAACAGTATGCTTTTCCAGTTTATCACGAATTGTGGGACTCCGCCTCATATAAGCGATAGAGCCACATTATTAACACTGGGACCGGCCTGCATCTGGCATATGTGCAGGACCACAGGATAGGGTAGGGAGACAGTGTCAGGTGGAATTAAAAGCAAAGGCCTCAAAACAGGTAGATCTAGATTTAAATTTTAGCTCCGACACTACCTAGCTCTATGACATTGGCAATCACTTAACCTTTCTAGGCCTTTATATCCTCGTCTATAAAATGGGCATAAAAGCATGCCAGACTTGCTGAGTTTGGAATAAGGGTTGGAGGGGTTAATGGAGCACATGTAAATACATGTGTCTGTGCAATTTTTCCACCCAACCAACTCCTAAGGAGAGCTGTTCATTCTTAGTTAAGAAGCTAGTGAAAAACCTTTGTTCATCTGTCTGGAAAACTGAGTTTTAGCTTTGCTCTGGGTTATCGAGAGTCCCTTTTTATCTGTCTGTCTCATTATTTTTTTCCACCTGTGAAACTAAAGCGTATTTAGTCTGATCTGTCTACTTCATGGGAATTTAAGAACAGCTAAGCTAACAAATGAGAGAAGAAAATAGCTTTGAACTGTTTAAAAGAAAGGTGCCACAAAAAATCAAATAGAGTTCTATAGATAGTCTAAACTCAATTTAAACTAAATCTGACATAAATTCATTATAGAATACAGGTCTCTGTGGCCTTATATTTTGTGATAACCTAAGAGGATTGAAATATTTTGCTGACGTGACAAGTGTCTAGAAGCGCTGCTTATCAAAACAGGATAAATTGCATTCAGAAAACAACTGAGCATATAACAGCTTCCTCTTGATAATCATCTCCATGCATGAAGTGTAGTGATATTCTTAAAAGACATATTTTCTATGACAAAGAATTGCAAAATATGACACTCAGTGTAACTGTCATATTTCAAAACACATGCTCCAGGAATTGAAGAAAACCTTACGTATTCAAGAATCAAAGTTAAATATGTAAATACAGTAAATCTAAAGTACAAGCCAATAATAACCTCCCCGAATTTTCAAGATCTAAAGGACCCTGGACCTAACCCAGTCCGTTTGTGTCACAGATTAATTATTGATTTTTTTAAAGAAAAACCAAAGTTTTTTCTAAAAGTAAATGTTCCACATATAATTTTGTCCCAGTTGATGTATTTTTTTCTTTGAGAGAAAAAAATAAAGTAATATAAGCCCATTAGTAGGGCTCAGAGAGCCAGAACAGGATTCCAGTTATGTTGAATGAGGTATTTCAATCTCAAAAGTTTACAAATCAGCAGAGTATATAAAAATATAATTTGGTGTAGAAATAAATGTAATTCCTGGTAAGACTCATAAAATATCTTTTAGTTTTAGATTCTGAAGTCTGTAATATTTGATTGTAAAAAAAAAAAATGGGATAAGTAGAAGGAAAACCCAAAAAAGTTTGGCAGTGACGGATAGAGTGATTCAACAGAGCCATCAAGAACACTGAAACGGGGGGGCCCTAGGTGGCTTAGTCTGTTAAGCATATGCCTTTGGCTCTGGTCATGATCCTAGGGTCCTGGGATTGAGCCCCACGTCTGGCTCCCTGCTCAGTGGGGAGCCTGCTTCTGCCCCTGCCCCTCCACCTGTCTGTGCTCTTTCTCTCTCTCTCTCTCAAATAAATAAATAAAATCTTTAAAAAAAAGAGAAAAAAAAAAACAATGCTGAAACCAGACACTTAATGTGAGACCTCAATGGTCAGAGTGGCTGGCTTCCCGAATTAATATAATCACTGAATAAACGTGGAAAAATGAAAAATCAGCGTTTCTTAAATAGCAGCATGTGAATTTCCTTAAGTTGCTTTAGTTGTTTTTCAAAACTTTAACCTTGTTTAACTATTAACATGGGATTTCCAAAATTCAAATACGGGAACCTGAGACAGGAAGCTTGTGATTTTGAATCCATGTCTCAGTTCAGAAGTCCTATTTTCCTTTTGCAGAAAGTATAATGAAACTTGCATTCATTCTTTGCAGAAATATCATCAAATACTTGACCAAAATAATTTGTAAAAAGTACAGCCAACATAGATATTTGTATGTTTTGTGCAAAATTAGATGTGTGTGTATATGCATTTGTGTATTTTCTGTGCATGTATCTACATACTGAACATCTTTTCTTTTACTTCTAGGGCTGTCAGAAAATACAGGATTTTAATAATGTGATACCTGACGGCCTGAACTTGAGTTTTCTCATAGCCTTGGTTTCAAACAATGGAGATTACACATGTGTTGTTACATATCCAGAAAATGGGCGTACCTTCCATCTCACTAGGACTCTGACTGTAAAGGTGGTAGGTAAGCATGATTTTTAAGTGCACACAACAAAAATGCAATAACTCTGTTTTGGCTCTTCATAGTTTATTACAAACAAGTGTATCCATTTTATGAGAAAAGAGGTTTATCTTTTTTGTTCACTGCACTGTCCCTAGAGCCTCAGCAATTCCACATACAAAATAGGGGTTCAATAACTATTGGTCTACTGAATGAATTAATATGTGAATGAATGAAGGCAGCTTGGGGAGTGAAAGGAGTACCAGAGGAATCTGTGTTCAGCTTGTACCCTTGCCATTTATTAGCAATATGACTTTGATCAGGGTCTGGGTCTCCTGAACTGTGCTCTGGAACTAAGAGTACCTGACATTCAGTATAGCTGAGAACATTAGAAATAATATACATATTATGCTAGTCCAGTTCCAGGCAAACAGCAGAAACTCAATGAATTAAGTAGTTAAAATTATTATCACAAAAATGTTGTATTTGAATTCAATCAGCTCTGTCCTTCTGTGGACTGGAACTGGGGTAGCTGAAGCTATTTGCCAGTGGTGTTTAACCCTTGCTTTGCCCTGGTTGAGAGAATGGGGGGGGGGGTTGAGAAATTCAGAAAGTGGAAAGGACAATGTCCAGGCCCAGTCAAAAGACTCCTATCAAACCCAGAAATTGAGAGAACCAATGTCAGCATTTAGGGGAGAGCCCTAAATACCACTGTGCCCATGATACTAAAAAGGAGAGCATATCAGAGTGAAAATTTTTCACACCCCATCTTTTCATAGATGGAAACATCGAGATCCAATAGCACAAAGTAACCTGTTTAGAGATGCTCTGTGAGTTAGTGTAAGAAGTGATTCCAAATCTCAGGTTTCTGATTCTTGGTGCAGGGCTTTCTCTACTAGCCTGACACCAGGTTCAGCGTAATTTTTAAGGGCTCTAACATAATAGTGCAAATAAAATTCAAATTGGAAAATTTTGTAATCCCCTCTCCTCTTCCTCTGCCTACTTTTGGAATAATGCTGGGCTGGGAACTCATTCAGAAGAAAAATCAGACTAAATTTAGAACTTAACCGGAATGGGCTTTAAAAGCCAAATGAATAATCTAACCTTAAATTCATCTTGGCCATTGTTTCTGATACAGATACTTAAATGTATCCCTTTTTGGGAAGTTGAGAACAGGCATGCTTGTTCACCTTGTTTTATAGATAGAGAAGTTGATAGACACTGATGTGGGGTAGGGTTCTTATCCAACTTTCAAGCAACACAAGTTTGTTTTTTGTTTTTTTTTAAAGATTTTATTTATTTGAGAGAGAGAGAATGAGAGACAGAGAGCACGAGAGGGAAGAGGGTCAGAGGGAGAAGCAGACTCCCCGCTGAGCGGGGAGCCCGATGCGGGACTCGATCCCGGGACTCCAGGATCATGACCTGAGCCAAAGGCAGTCGCTTAACCAACTGAGCCACCCAGGCACCCCACAAGTTTGTTTTTGAAGCTGTGAAGTACTGAGCACTTATTATATACCAATAGGATGCTTTAATATGCATTACTTAATTTAATATGCATGACTCAATTTAATCCTTCTAATGAACCTGTGTGGTGAGTTGAATTATCCTCATTTTAGAGGTGAGGAAAATTAGCTTCTCAAAGATTAAGCAAAAAACCAGAGTCATATGGTTAGGATTTGACCAAGTAAGGATAAGAGCCTTGGCTGTTAAATCTTTGAAGCCTCTACTCTTATGCACTACACTATAAAACCCCTTCAGGGTATTTTTATTTCAAATTAGAAATATAGAATATTATAAAGAGCAGCAGTCCTATGAATGAGCAGTCAACTGTCACAGGCATTGGGTAGACTGATGTGCTAGCCTCACAACTGTGGTTTTAAATTTTCCATTTACATAGTATTCATTTAATATTTACTTCTTTAACCAGGTCCCATACTAGACACCCTGGGCATGTTCTGGAGAAATATGTAGAAAAGAAACAATTGAGGAAGACATGAAAGCAATTTTTTTTATAGTATGAGAAGGGTATTTCATGTAAGCGTTGGGAAGCAAAAACACTCCTATCCTGAAATGTGGAGACTACTTAGTATGTTATGTTTGTCTCTTTGCTTGTTTGAAATGAATGAAGTGTTGTAAATGACTCTACATTGAGCTGTGGGCCCTCGCGGGAAGAATTGACAAACCGTGCCAGGAAGTTGGGCAAAACTTTACAAAAGAGCAGCTCTTGGAAATGGGTTATGAGAGATGAGGGATACATGATTTAACATCATCTCTCTTTTGTTTCTTCCTCTCTAAAACAGGCTCTCCAAAAGACGCATTGCCTCCTCAGATCTATTCACCCAATGATCTTGTGGTTTACGAGAAAGAACCGGGTAATTATAGCTGTGCCTCTTAATTTCAGTTAGATTCTCTTAATGACAAGGAATAAAACGTCATTTAAGTTAATGCATGCAAATAGAGGGCTTTTGTAAGGAAACACAGGAATTGAAACTGAAATCAAGGCAGCTCTGGAGATTAGCTCCTCCTCTGTCATAGATCTCTCAGGCATCTCTGGGATTCTCAGCTTCTCTCTCCACAGCTGCTCCCTTCCTCCCCTGCAGTGGCTCCCCTCTCCTGATTAGTGATTTCTGTCTGATGTACACGTTAGCTTGCACACAGCTTGGGTTTGCCAAGACTGTGATATGAGCACAAGACATCCTTTAAGCTTCTGCTCCACTGTGGAGGGGCAGGGGTTGGAGCTTGGAGGTGAGACCCTGAATTTAATGGGTTAACAACTGGTAGAACTAGTACACCCTAATCAGAACTCTGTGGGATGTTTCCTATGGCTGTCTGGGTCTCCTTTTAAAAAGTTTTTTTTTAGTTTTCGTAATTTTCCATTCTGGACAAAAATCATTTGCTACTGACCGAATAAGGCATCGTGTGTTATTCTTCTGGCTCAAAGCCTCCCACAGTTAAACTGAAAACCATAGAAAATCTTACAATTTTCTATATTGTATCCTTTACAATAAACTCACTCCAAACCCAATGAAAGGTGTAAAAGAACATATTTTTACAATGTACTAAAGATAACAGAGGTCGTGATCAAATGTAGGTAGAGCACAATGATGCCCTCCTGAAACTAAGATAAGGTTTCAAATAGCGAGCTGCCTGTAAAAACAAAACAAAACAAAACAAAAAAAACAAAGAACACACAAAGGGGTCTGCCAACCCCAAATGGACCAAATTTCCTAGAATTCATAGTGGCTTTGTATAGTAATATGAACATTCTTCCTGCTATCGGGGTAAACGCTTACTAACGACCTAGTGTGTTTTCATCTACCTATCATATGGTTACAGCATCTATGTTCATGTTACCTTCCTGCATATTAATATAGAAACTGAAAGGGACAACATAAGAATCATGCATGAGAAGAGGGGATGAGGTAGGACCACGCAGTGAGACAAACTTGCTTTCAAATTTGGATGACAATATAATTTGTCATCTCAACCTACACACCTTTTGAGAGTGAAAGCAGTTAATATCAATAACTAAGAAAGCAAGTGTAGAACAGAGTTGTCCTGGGCAAACTGGAATGAAAGTCGTCAAATTCTGGTTTGCCACTTATTAATAATTTCATCTAAGAGGGGCACCTGGGTGGCTCAGTCATAAAGCGTCTGCCTTTGGCTCAGGTCATGATCCCAAGGGTCCTGGGATCAAGCCCCCCGCCCCGCCCCCCGCATCAGGCTCCCTGCTCAGCAGGAAGCCTGCTTCTCCCTCTCCTCCTGCCCCTGCTTGTGTTCCCTCTCTCGCTGTGTCTCTATCTGTCAAATAAATAAATAAATAAAATCTTTAGAAAACAACAAAAAAAAAACCACACAAAAAACAATGTCATCTAGGAATGGCATTTAACATCGTTAAGCATTAGTTTTCACATCTATAAAACATGAATTTAAAAAAATACCCCATAGTATTTTGTTTAAATTAAATAAGATCCCCTGTAAGTATAAATATTTAGCACAGTGAATTATATAAAGTTCTTAGTGCGGGTGTAGCTGCCCTTCCTGTTATTATCATTTTCTGCCTGGAGATCCCCCTGACCTCATGTTCCATCTCAGGAAGATAACATAGATTTGTTATTCATAAACAGTAGTATTTATAAACATACAAATATTTGCATTATATATATATGTATATATGTAAATTTTAAACTCACTGACTGCACCCTGATAACCTGAGCATTTCAAGATCTGGCCTGCCCCTCAGTGTTGGCACTGCCTCATCTTTTCTGCGCCAAGCATCAAAGGTCTGGAGAATCTCTCCTTAGTCACTGTTTGTGAGGGAAGTAACAAAGGATAAGAGTAGTCCATGGAAGTTTAGGGCTAAAAAGGATGTTGTCAGAGCCTCTTTAAACAAATACTGCCATGGTACAGGATTTATGGATTGTATAAAAAGATGGTCGTTCTGGACATTTTGTATAAAACTGCTGTACTTCTTTTCTTGGTTTGTTTATTTTGCAATGAAGTATGGTACGTTACTATGGTAGGCCACTTGAAAATTACTCAGAAGTATTTAAGTACACTTTTATAGCTTCTGATTAGTTACAGAGTGAAACCAGTGTAGCCATGGAAGGTTACAAACTGATGGGTTAACTTGTTTTTTTAGGAGAGGAGCTACTCATCCCCTGTACAGTCTATTTCACTTTCCTGAAGGATGCTCGCAATGAGGTTTGGTGGACCATTGACGGAAAAAAGCCAGATGACACCAATATCGATGTAACTGTAAATGAAAGGTACCATTGGCTCAGACAAGGGGTGATCGACGTTTGTCCCTCAACTGAATGCCCTCTGGCTTATACTAATCATTGAAAGTAAAAACTCTGACTTTGGCCCATCATTACCAAAAATCTGCAAGATTTTCAAGTCTTTAGTGGCTGCATCCCAAAGCAGGATTACTGGACTTTCAATTCAAGACCCAGATATCTTCTAATAATCACACATTCATGATTCCCACTTGAAAATAGATGGGGTGCATAGCCCACATGAATGAAGGGCCACAATACAGGGCTCTGAATACATGAAAGCTGGTCAGTGTGGCCCTGTTCTTTTCTTTCTCAAGTCTGTATTTATGCCTCAGATAAATTGTATTAGTTTCTTGTCTTACAGTAAACATATATTTCCTATTTTCCTCCTCATTCTTAACTCACATAGCATGCATGTTACATTTATAATTGATAATTATTTTTTTAAATATTGGCTAAATACATTCACATTCTTTAAATTTTATTTTTAAAGTGGATGAGGTGGTAATAGAGCCCGCTCTTAAAATAACAATCTGGATCATTTTATTTCTAAATAAATATAAATTTTTGAAGGGGATTGGGTTGACAAGGAGGAAAATATGGGTCTTTGAAGACAAAAGATCCTTCCATAAGTGAAGTACCCAACTGCAACACAACAGTTGGTTCACAGCAACAATAAATAAAAATTAGCAGCTGACCAACTACATGACAAAGTAGTTCTAAGGCCGTGAGCCTTAACATGATATGCAAATACATCTTTGGCTACTTAAACTTAAAGATGTGTTGTTCCTAATAGTAAACTCACACTTTGCGCAGAGGTTATAAAATGTCTGCTTTACATCAAGTGCTATGCAAGATACTTCGTCCCTAACTGAGTAGATTTTATCGGAGTAGGAGTGATAGAGCAGAAATTTCAATGTATTGTGATAAATGCAGTGACGAGAATATTGGATATTATCGGAAGCTTTAGTTGAGGATTCCAGTCAGTTTTACGGGATGAGGCAGTGCTTCTCAGATGGTACAGTACCTAAATAAAAAATTGAAGGATGAGTAGAAATAAACTAGGTAAAGAAATAGAAAGAATGTTCCTGGTAAAAGGAACATGATGTGCAGTGGCTGGAATTTAGAGAAGCAGCACATATTTAAAGGTACAGAAGGAGCCTCCTGAAATTGGAGCAGTTTTTGCAGAAGGAATTGGTTAAAGATGTGGCTGGAGACACAACGGGAGAGTTATTGATCACTTAAGGAATTCTGAACATTGTGGTTCCTATCCTCATAATAATAACGAATGAATAATAATGAAGGTCATGCTGTCTGTCCTCGCTGCTACAGCAACACAACTCAGTGTCCAGAGTGGAGCAGTGCAGCTCAGTTTAGGCTAAACCCATCACAACTCTTGACCAAGTTCTCATGACTGACAGTCAGCCTCATTGGAAGGAGAACCTGGATGTCAGCTATAGGAGAGAGATTTTGTTTTCTCTTTGGAGCAAGTAGTTCCAAGGGATTTTAAATCTTGGTCTTAGACCCAAAGCACTTGATCTCTGACATGCTGAGATTACAATGTATTTATTTTCATAAAGCTTACTTGCTTTGAGAAGTCTCTTCTTTTTATGTTAGGATTTAACCCATGGAGTTTCAGCCGTTTTACTGAAATATTCTACCTGTGTTCAAAATCCAAGCTTTGGGAATCCCTAGCTATATGAGCATGAACTATTGCTGAGGATGATAATAATTGCCTATATGAATATTTATTAAGAATTGTTCTAATACTTACACATTGACATACTCAATCCTCAGAGTTCTTGAGTAAGTCAATACATGTAATGCACTGCGTAGGCATTGCTACTTACCTCTCTTTCAAGGAGGAACTCAAGACTTGGAAAGATTAGTTACTGTGCCCAAAGTATCTAGCCAGTAAATGGCAAAGCTTGGGTCAAAACCCAGATGGATCTGGCCTCAGAAGCTTCTCTCTACACTGATACAGAATACTATCTCAGAAGTTTGAGGGAAGGAGACATTTTGCTCTGAAGAGAGATCTGCCATACGTTGCCAGCAATGGGATTTGTGCCAGATACTGGGATTGTGTGTGGTATAGAAGGTAAAGAATGGCACTGGAGTCTAGAAGCTATCCTTCCTTTGTAACCATTGGATCTCAGGCAACACAGCTCATGGACATTGTGGCCGCCCTCACCTTGGGGCCCTGTGGTTGTCTCCTTATCTGATTCACACACAGCACATGGCCCTGCCGTCTCATTCACGCTTTGATTTTCTTCCCCCTATTTCTAGTGTAAGTTTGACTGCAACTGAAGATGAAACAAGAACTCAGATTTTGAACATCAAAAAAGTTACTGCTGAGGATCTCAAGCGCAACTATGTCTGTCATGCTAGAAATGCCAAAGGGGAGGTTGACAAAGCAGCCAAGGTGAAACAGAAAGGTAATGGATGCACTCAGCAGATGCCTCTGTGAACTCCAAATGTAACAATGTGGTGAATAAGGGAAAAGAGAAGACAGTGCTCCAGCACCTAGCACATTTGGCACATAGTAATGAATCAAAGGTGAATTGAAAAAATCTTGAGGGAAAGTTTCCATCTATGTGAAGACAGTCGAAATGTTGTTTCTTATACTTTTAGTAACTTAGTGCACATATGTGGCCAAAAAATCCATATGATTATGAAAATGAGGCATAATTTTATATCAGTACAGTCATGAAAAATGGAAAATAATTTAAAGCTACCAAAGATACAGAGACTCTATACTGGTAGAGTCACATATAATTGTTGGATTGTAAAGACCCTTTTAGAAATCATTGATGGCAGAGTTCAAGCCTCATAAAAATGACCATACCATATGACTTAATACTTTTGGAATTTTTCCTGAACAAATAACAGAAAGAGAATTATGTACCCATTGCTATTCTTAGAAGCATTATCTATAATAATGAAACATTATAAATAGCAACCATCTAATTATATTCAAGTTGTTAAGTAAAATATAAAATACTTTTTCTCAAAAATATAATTTTAAAATGATCATTTTAAATACTATGTATCAGTATTCAAACAGATTTAGAACAATTGCTAAAATGAAAATTATTTAAACTGTGACTTAAAGTAATATAAAAGGATTTCTATGTTGATATTACTAATTTTTTCTACAATAAATAAAAGTGATAAAGCTCTCTTGTGTGAGCTGTTGCTACTGAAACAGACTATGTCTAAAATTATCTTTGGGTCTCTCACCTAACACAGAACCCGACAATTAATCCTTTCAAGAATGTGTTTCAATGACCTAGAGAAAGATAATGATGATTTATCACACATGCAGTCACGTCATTCAGAATCATCATGGATCCTTCTGTCAGATAGAGCCTATAATATTTATACCAAAAGTAAAAAAAGAAAAAGAAAAAGAAATTAATTCATAGCTATTACATTTTGCAGTGGGATTCAAACCTTTTTTTTTTTTTAAGCTGATGCAAAAACAGGCTTCACTTAACATTTCATTATAATTTAGAAAGTAAAAAGCAAAGTCCTGAAGTCTATATGCCACTTAAAAAGTCTTAGGGGATTGGTTCTGGATAGTTCATTGCTTCTGTTTCTCAGAAGCCGGTGTAAAGCAACGAGACTCAACCAAATAATATAAGGCAGTTTCCCAAAGTTAGTTCCTAAGAATACTACTAGGACTCTTTATAGTACTGCAGTTCATTATATGTACTCTAGACTCAGACGGCCTGTGTTGGAATCCCAGTTTCTGTGCATCCTAAACTCTGTGATCTTGAAAAAATCACTTAACCTCTCAGAGCTTCAATTTCTTTATATTTAAAGTAGGCAAATGATACCATTGTCTCATAAGGTTGTTTTAAGGTACTCAGCACAATTACTGGCCTATATACATATATATTAAGTGCTCAACAAATATTAAGTCTACTTATTACTTCCACAAAATTTTCACAGGTGTTATTTGACAAAGGCTTTTATAGTAAATAAAGTATCATTAAAGGCTAGGTTAAACAAAATCAATCAGGTTATTTTAGTCAAGGGCCCCTTAGAGTCTTTACATTATTAACACTTGGTGTGAATATCTGAGGGGAATTGGAACTTAGGAGGCAGGGTTTTTTTTGTTTTTGTTTTTTTTTTTTCAAATATATTTGATTCCTGAAGTAATGGAGCATTTTGTGGGACTCGTTTTTTGAAGCATGTGTTTTGAGAAACAATTATGGAGGATGACATAAATTACTTACTTATTGTCAGGTAGGATTAAACAATCAATTAAAATCATGTTTAGTCTAGGAGTGATGCAGAAGTTTGCCTGCCAGAGCTACGTGAGTAGCTCCCTTTCCCACAAGGCCATGCTCTGAATGGTTGAGTGTGAATGGCATCAGGAATGTGAAATGACAGGTGCATCCACTGACTGGATGATCTGTGCTGAAACTACATTAGTATTACACAGAATTCAGCCTGGGCTGTGTACATCTTGTGGTACCAGAGGTGTTGAGGGTTTATTACTTGGCTTCTATTCTCGGCCAGGTAATGCTGGGATTCAGAGGTGATATCTGTGTTCACATTCATATGTCATATGTAATGAGTCCTTCTCTGGATTCATTGACAAAGCATTCTATGTCTTTCATCAAAAAGATAACAGGAAGGGCTCAAAATAAGAAGAATTCACTGGGATAGGTCTTTGGACAGTGCAATTTCATCTGGTCAGTTAAAGCAAAGTATCAAAGGAGAGGCAGCTGATGTAAATGTGTTAAACATGGAGTTGTTTTATAATAGGAGAGAGGTGGGGACTAAGGCAAGGTGTGTTGAACTTTATGAGAAACTGCCAAACCTATTGCCGAAGAGGTTGTACCATTTTATACTTCCATTAGCAATGTATATAAATTCCAGGTGCTCTACATCCTTACCGGATTTTGGAGTTGTCAAATTTTTCAATTTTAGCCATCCTAGTAAGTGGGTACTAGTATCACACTATATTTTTTTTAATTTGCATTTTCAGATACTAGTGATATTGAGTACTTTTTTATGGACTTACTGACCATTAATTAATAGTTCTTCCTTTGTGAAGTAGCCATTAAAATCTTTAGCCCGTTTTGTTCTTGGGTTGTTTGTTAATGATATATATATATCAGATATATGACTTTGTGAATATTTTCACTATTGTGCATTCATTTTATTTTTGATGAGCAGAATTTTAAAACATTTGATGAAGTCCATTTTATCGATTTCTTCTATTATGGTTACTACTTTCTAAATCCTGTGTTAGCAATCTTTGATTTTTGAAAATCTTAGCTTTTTCTTTTATACTTTAGCCTATGATTCATTTCAAAAATTTTTTTATACTGTGAGGTATGGATTAAGTTTTAGTGTCTTGTTTTACATATAGAAATCAGTTCTAGCCTCATATTGAAAAATCTCTCCCTCTTTACTGAATTGTTTTGACAACTTAGCCTAAAAAAATTATGACTCTGGGTCTATGTCTCCATTCCCTATTCTGTTCTATCAATCTGTTCATCTCTCTTTAGTCAAATATTACTTTGTCTTGACTAATAGCTTTAAAGTAAGTCATGAAGTCAGAAACTATTGTCTTCCTCCTTTTTTCTCTTCAAAGATTAATCTGACTATTCTGAAAACCATATTATTCTTTCATATAGATTTTAGTATTGGCTTGTAAATTTCTACATAAGAGTCTGCTGGAATTAGATTGGGATCATATTAAATTTATAAATCGATTTGGGGAGAATTGAAGTCATAATGATATTGAATTTTCCAATCCATGAACATGATATATCTCTCAATTTATTTAGTTCTCACTGATTTTTCTCAGCTTTTTTTTTTTTTTTTAGTTTATGTATACAGGTCTTGCACATGTTAAATTTATCCCTAAGTATTTTGTTTCTGTTGCTATTATAATGGTATTTTTAAAATTCCACTTTTCAATTGCTCGTTGATAGAAAATAGAAATGAATTAGTTGAGTTCTATGTTTTGATCTTGGTCTTTTGACTTTTCCAAATTCACTGCTTAAATAGGGTTTCTGCTCGTTTTGTTTGTTAGGTTCCTTAGCATTTTCTATACACTTGATTGTGTCACCCATATATAAACATACTTTTCCTCCTTCCTTTCCAAACATTACACCTTTGATTTCTTTTTTCTGCCTCTTTCACTCTCTTGGATCTCCCAGTACCATGATCAGTAGAAATCAAAGCAGCCATCCTTGCATTGTTCCCTATCTTAGAGGATATGCATTCAGTTTTTATATATTAAATATGATGTTAATTATAGGTTTTTTGTAGCTGACTTTTATCTATGTGAAGGATTAATTTATTTTTGGTTTGCTGAGAGAATTATAATTCCCGTGTGTGTGTGTGTATATATACATAGATTATGAGTATACATATATACATATATATGTATAAATGATGAGTGTCTGTTGAAATTTATCAAATTCTTGGTGTAGTTTTATTTTACTATATCTTACTTAGGGTTCTTTAAACTTCTTGGTTCCATGAGTTTATTGTATTTTTCATTTACTTTGAAAAAATCTTCAGCCATTATTTCTTCAGATATGTTTTGCTCTTTCATTCATTCATTCTTTCCTTTTCTTCTAGTAGTCCCATTAAATTTAATATATATCACTTGGGGTTGTTCCACAGGCCACTGAAGTTCTCATTTTTATTTCATCCTTTCTTTGTTCCTGTGTTTCAATTTGGGTAGCTTCCAGTTTCCACTAGTCATTTCTTTTTTGATGTTTAATCTGCAGCAATTTTAATTTCAGAATTGTATTTTTCAGTTTTTGGATTTCCATTTCTCCATAAAAATATCCCTATTGATATTTCCTATTTGCTGTTAATGATGTTCATCATCTTTTTTTAATTATTTTAATTTTTTAATTAATTAATTAATTAATTTTTTAAAGATTTTATTTATTTATTTGACAGAGAGAGACACGGCGAGAGAGGGAACACAAGCAGAGGGAGTAGGAGAGGGAGAAGCAGGCTTCCTGCGGAGCAGGGAGCCCGATGCAGGGCTCGATCCCAGGACCTGGGATCATGACCTGAGCCGAAGGCAGACGCTTAATGACTGAGCCACTCAGGCGCCCCATCATCTTTTTTTTTAATTCAACAGGAATATTTATAACACTCATTTTAAAGGCTTATCTGCTAATTCCATCATCTTTGTCAATTCTGATTTGGGTTTTTTTTTAAGATTTATTTATTTATTTGAGAAAGAGAGAGAGAGCGTGCAAACAGGGGGAGGGGCAGAGGGAGAGGGAGAGAGAATCTCAAGCTGACTCCCAGCAGAGTGCAGAGCCCGAGGTGGGGCTTGATCTTGGGACCCTGAGATCATGACCTGAGTCAAAGCCAAGAGTCAGACGCTTAGCTAATAGAGCCATCCAGGTGCCCCTCTGATTCTGTTTTTATTGGCTGATTTTTCTTCTGATTATGGGTCTTTTTTTTTTTTAAACATATGCTGGACATTATGTATGTTGCATTATTGAGTGTCCGATTTTTGAAAGTGAGTATTGTTTTGTTCTCACAGGGAGTTAATTTACTTGCTTAACAGCTTGCTTTTTTGAAGTGTTCTGCTTACCTTTGCTAGAGTATATCTAAAAAACAGCCTTTTCTCTAAGGTCAGACTGGACATATCTAGACTCTCTGGGGTCTCTACCTAACACACGGGGAGCTAGCCGAAATGTCTTTACTGTGGTCTTAACTCAAGTGTCCCCCAGCCCTGCATGTGCACTTAGAGTTGTTCAATTCCCAGTCTCCTGGAAGCTGTTCCTTCCCTGGTAGTTTCTTTCACTAGCCCCTGTTCTTTGCCTGATCTTGTCAAGTGTCATCTGACCTATGCAGAGCTTTATATTTTTCCAAAGACTTGAGGTCACCCCTTGCAGACTTACAGAGCGCTTCTTCCACACAGTGTTCTTCCCTCCTTACCCAGGCCTGTAAATTCAACCCAACTCAGTAGTTCTGAACTGTGATTCCTGTGTCCTTAGCTGACCGTGATGACTATACTTCTGGTTTTCCCTGTTCTCTGCCATGGTCTGAAAGTGCCTTCAGGCAAGAAGCCAGTGTGATGGTGGGGCTCAACTGTTTGATGTCCTTTCTCACCCAGATCGCACACAGACCAACTAACTACCAGTGGGTCCACCTTAGGAAAACTGTCATTGTAAATACTATGGTGAGAAAGCCACTCCAGTATCCATTCCTTCTCTAAGGCCAGAAGCTGACAGGCAAAATGCACACATTTTAAAACACTATGATCGTCAAACAAAGCAGGTCTGCGGGTTAATTCATTGATAGCTCTCTGGTTTACTGTCATCTAAATAAAACATTCTAATTGTTTGTCATTCAGAGAAGTGGTCACTACATGGTTCCCCAAATTATCAAGAAGTCTCAGCAATTTAGTGAAGAACAGGCACAGGTTCTGTGGCAGGAGATACTTGAAAGTCCAGTGTCAAGCAGCTGGTGTTGGGCTCAGAGCCCCTGTGGATAGCAAGGCACCAACTAATGAAGAGGAAGAAAATAAGTTAGGTTACCAAGAAGAAACAAGATTGTAGACCACTAACTTGAAACAGGGAAAAAGACTGGAGCTAAAGTCTTGGATTGGTTTAACTCAGGGCGGTTAGCTGGAAATAGGGACCTTGGAGCCCGTTATTACTGTCGAACTGGAAAAGGAGTGGAGGGGATTCTGATTCAGGGAATAACAGCAGAGCAAGTGGCTAAAATTGGCTATATCCTACATCAATTATAAGTGAGATCAAAGAGTGAAGCTGTTTAGGAGTGCAATTTGGTCAAATTGCATCACCCCTTCCTGATTGGAAACCCTTTGGTCTGGGATTGCATCAAAGTAAAATCTTTATGCCAAAACAATGGAGGTTCCAGCTGGGGCAGACAGAAAATGTGGGCTGAGGGTCATCCTTTCCCTGCAAACCAGCACAGCTTTATAGGAAAGCTTTTTAGAACATTTTCTGCATGTGATTCAAGCCATTTAGAAATTCAGGCTTGTGGATTACTTAAGAGTTCAAATAGTGAAATAGTATTAGGAACCTCTTGATGTCATCAAGATGGCCCCCACAAAATACAGTCTGTAAACATGACCCATGTCATTAAATGACCCAAAACCAAAGTAAAAATCCTCCCTAAAAATAAAATAGGCAGTAGTAAAATGAATGTGGCAGAGGGAAATTTATGAGGGTAATTGATCTCTTGATCATTAGGCAAGATATCTATTGATATTTTTTCTTAAATCCATTTCAGGTAAGTGCATCCACTGACCTCTTTTTTTTTTTTCTTCCCTATTCGAAAATGTCCAGCCAGAAGGACCCAAAATAACTGAGCAAATAATGAAGATGACGTGGGAATTACCCCAGTGTACTGTTAACATAACATGTGCTCAGAAATACCAAGGACACAGCAATTTTCATGCCAGCTACCCAAATTGATCTTAGTAAATTCTCAGCAATTGCACTTGACATAGCTTTTGACATTCAATGATGGAGTTTTCTTATTTTAAACACCATTATTCATGGAACAAGCATGAGAATACCTGGTAATAATTCTGCACTGCGGAGTTCCAGGCTATCTCTGAGATAGGATTAGCATCCCAAGTTTAGGATAATGAACTTGAAACTCTAAGATCTGCCCTTTAATTAGAGAACTTCAGGCTCAGCTCCAGACTGCTTACCATTTTCTCCTTAGGAGAGATACCTGTTTCAAAAGGGATTTTTCCACTAGTATATGATCAATAATTAAACTTCATGGCAGAGCTCTGCAAAGATCTCTGGACTTTGGAGTCAGAGAGCCTGGATAACAATCCTAGCTTTGAACAAAATTCTTCTGTACCCACGTTGGCAAGCACTGAACACAATGTTCAGGTGACCAAAAAGCCTTTTCTCACTACCCAACCTGATATGCCTCTTCTGCTCCAGCCCAGCCTCTCAGTACCCCCTCATCATATTACCTTGCTTTATTTCCTTTATAACACTGATCACTACCTAGCAATAGTTGTCCTATTATTTATTTCCTTATTTATTTCCTTGCATTAGAATATTAACCCTAAGAGGTCAGAAACCCTTTTGGTCTGATCTACCATTGTATCCCCAAGAGCTTCTGGCAAATAATAGATGTTAATAAGTAATTGTCAAATCAACTATTACATAATTTAAGCCACTCCTTCTTCAGATCCAAATATTCTATTCCTTCTTCAAACACTTAGGCTTCATTATCACAAGCTAACAAAGCAACCAAATAAAGTTGTTGATACATAATAGTACTAGATTTCTTTTAAATATTTCAGAATGGTTCTATCTGGAAACGTTCATTGAGATCCTATGTATTCTAGTGGTAGGATGGATGAAGAAAACATAGGCTTACCTAGAAGACTATAGATGTAGAGTTTAGTGGGGAGTGAGAGAGAGGGAGCAGCAGACTTGTAGACGAATTACAATAGAATACAAATGCTATAATAGAATTGTAAACAATGAGGAGAGTAGGAATTTCTGCCAGGCAGATGTCAGGTTGCAATAGGAGTTTTATTCTAGGAAAGCTTATACAAAATAATGACATTTGAGCATGGACTTAAAAACTTAAAGAAAAAGAAAGAAGTATTTTCCGCCAGAAGTCCCAGCATGAGCAAAGACACGAAGCAAAATCTTCCTGACATTTTTGAGGGGAAGGTACTGGTAAATGAGCCAGTAGGGTGGTTGGTGGTTTGGTCATGACAGACCTTCTTTACAGGGCTGAGTTAAAATATTTCTAGCTTTTACGAAGTCAGGAAGTACCTCATTCTATTTCTGATAGTTCCAAAGAAATTGCTAAAATGCCTCTCATATAAAAGTAAGCAGATAACGTGGGAATCTGTCCGTACCTGGATATTGCAAGTTAACTTTCAGAATGTGTATCCTAGAACTGTAAACCTGGGAAGATACTTTCAAACCCAAGCATACTCAGCTTTGGTGGATACCCTCTGTTTCTGCCCAATGAAAATAAGATTTTTGAGGCTTTTTTCCAAATTTATAGGAAAGGAAATTAATTTTTTTTTCCATATGGCACTGATGAGAGGGTGGAATTAAGACTAATGGAAACACATTAAGATTTTCACAACCCAAATGCTCCAACAATTAAACTTCTATCAATATCATAGTCTGGTCTGGGTAGTAGTAAGGATTCCATCCCAAGAGATGGACAAACAGAAGATGAAATTACACTTTTCAAAAATATTTTTGAGGAGATTCGTGTATCAGATCATGAGTTGAATGAGATGACCTTCTAAATCCTTTCTAATGCTAAAATATACATATATATAACTAATATACCATTTATATACCATTAATATATATTTATATAATATCAAAGTCTATTCAACTCACCTAGTAGTTTAAAACACCTACATCAGGTGCTGGAAACAAAAAGATAAATATGACATGGTCTGGCATTAAAACATAGTGCTTAAAGCCTATCATGTTATCTCTGCTTGTTCACACATATAAGTCAGGTGCATGGCTCAGCTGCCTGGTTTACCCGGCTATTTGCAGGATGATGGATCACTGTGATCACCACGTAGAAATCAATTGTTTCTTTGTTGTTCACTCCACTGATAGCTCCAAGATACACAGTGGAATTAGCATGTGGTTTTGGAGCCACAGTCCTGCTGGTAGTGATTCTCATTGTTGTTTACCACGTTTACTGGCTGGAGATGGTCTTATTTTACCGGGCTCATTTTGGAACAGATGAAACCATTTTAGGTGAGTAATAAAAGTTTGATGCAAATACCTTCTTCTATTGTCATTTTCAGAAAACATGTTGGCTTGATAAAAGCAAGAATAACTGGGAGATTTAATCAAACTGTCTTCGGTTTCAGCCCTTACTATTAAAAATCCTTCTAATGTATATTATTTTGCTTTCTTGGTTCAATATGTGTTTAGTCTAGATTAGCCTGTCCAAATAGAAACACAGTGCAAGCCACGTATGTAATTTAAAACTTTCTAGTAGTCACAGGAGGAAAAGTAAAAAGAAAGTGAAAATTACTTTAATAATATATCTTATTTAACCCAGTGTATTCGGAACATTATTATCTTAGCATATCATGCATATTTAAAAGCTAATGGTGATATTTTAGTCTTATTTTTTGGTTTTCAAAATCTCATAATTTAGCCTGTGTTATATTTTAAACTGAAAGCACATCTCCATTCGGACCAGCTGCATTGCACATGTTTGAGAGCTATGTGTAGCTGCTGTGCTATAGCTACCTGGACAGTGCAGGCTTACACTCTTTGTACTTAAGGGTGGTCTAGGCACCAGCAATGTCAGCATCACATGGGAGCTTGTTAAAAGGAGAATCTTAAGCCTAACCCCTATTCTAAGTCAGGATCTACATTTTAACAATATTCCCAAAAGATTCAAGTGCACATTGAAGTTTTAGAAGCACTGTACTAGTGCAAATTTGCCTGGTGACAAAAGAACGTGTATTTTTACTGAGAGAGGTGATGTTTATAATTAGGCACCTTCGGGAAAGATGGGTTTATGGAATCTATATTTTTAATTGCAGTTATTTTCAGGTATAAATAACTTAGACACTTTCTAAAAGTTTTGCTCCATTTATAATTCTAATATATTGGTAGTGACAAACTAAGACAGGAACCATAAATTCTCAGTATGGTATTAATTGCCAGCACCTATGATTGACTATTTGCATCCTGATTGTGTTAGTTCATAGTTGAATGAGCCAAACCTCATTTATTTTCCACTATAAAAACTAAACTTAGTGATATGAGAGTAGGAGACACATCAGAAAAAATTTGCAATTACTCCTTAAAATAGTCATTTTGCCTGGAGACCTGTCACAAGTGGGAAATCACCCTGAAATCTGTCAGATAATTCATACATGTAAAAAAGTGAAAATGTCGAATATGCAAGAGTTCAGTTTAAGAAAAAAATGCAGTACGATGGTGAAACTTTTCTAATTTGTATTGGATCTCTCTTCCTTTTGCTAGATGGGAAGGAATATGATATTTATGTATCTTATGCAAGGAATGCTGAGGAAGAAGAGTTTGTGTTACTGACCCTCCGTGGAGTTTTGGAGAATGAATTTGGATACAAGCTGTGCATCTTTGACCGTGACAGTCTACCTGGGGGAAGTAGGTATTTCACATGAGTACAAGTAACGCCACCCTGCATGGCAAAGGGAATCCTTAGTTTGGAGTCATGTGTGACAGTCACGGCAGAGTTCTGTGTTGGCATCTTTGGATACTGAACGTCCAATTGTTTGATGTAGTGGAGACTTCTTTAGGAATAAAATTACCTCCTAAGTTGTAGATTATTGAGGTGCCATTTATGGTACTAAAATAGTTCCCCTTGTAAGCCCTAAGAACTCCAGGTCAGAAAAGTATGGATGCGCAGTGGATTAGGACTCTATTAAATGCCTCAGTTTTAAATGTTCTGCTTACACACATTTAGATTTTTAAGAAGGTTTAAGCTAACCTGCATTAATTTCCCTAGAATTTTTTTTTTTTTTTTGCAAGCATTGAGATTAAGCAACACTTTTACAAAGACTGAGGTTTACTTGATTTTACTAAGAATGAGTTTGTGAAGAGAATGCATGGAGTTTTTCTTTATAGTACTCACTGCTAATAATTAGAATATTTCCCTGTGGCATTTGCTAATTTCCTTTTGCTCACTTTTGTTTTCTCGCAAGCCTATGCTATTTAAATCCCCCCTTTTCTTGGGTCTGTTTCCTCCTTTCTACCAGCTCATACATTTGAGATGTAGTTTAAAATTTTAAAAAGGCCAGTATATACTAGAAACTTGAATTGCTGAATGTTTTCAAATAAAAGTGCATCTCAAATTTTCAAGTCTACCCAGTAACATACAAAGTGATGGTCCATTTGAGTCTGCTTTAATAAATACATCATAGCATTCCTAAACCCACTGTTGAACTTTGTGCTGTTGAAATGCATGTAATGTGTTTATCCCTCAGCAAAACAAACTAATTTTCCTTCCCTCCAATCCTGTATATGTTCATCATTTCAGATGTTCTAAAAATGTCATATAGATAATGGAGATACAAAATAGACTTAACTGTTTATTCTCATTTTGAATTAGCTGGACCACTTATTTTATCTCCTTAGCCATTACCTAGAAGTCCATCATGCTGGTGTTCTACAGTATCATTTTGCCAGGAAATGATGCCTTGATTATTCAGTTAAGGGACAAATTCCACTCATTTTAAGACTTAAAGTCCTAAGTCACTTATTCATCCATTTATTCATTCATTCTGCCATTCAACAAATGTTTATTTCAGTGTGAAAAGTTATATAAAGACATACAGTATAACAGCAATGACCCTCCAATAGGGGTTGATAATTCTTTGAAGAATTCAAGTTCTACATAATTACTCTTGCATCTTGCTTCTGCTGGTCAGTCCTTGTGATCTGCATTCTCACTGCTGCTCTTCGTTCTCTTTGCCTCTGGGTCTCTTTCCACGCTTCCACATGGTCTGCCTCCAGCAATAGTGCGTGGAGTAGATAATTACTGATTCCTGGATTCTCCTGCAGGCTGCACGTGGAATTTTAATTGCAAGTCTTTCCCCTTTGCCTCTGTAACTGTTTGAAGATGAAGGGGCAGAATGACTGCTTAGGGGAGTATTGTAAGCCATGAAATAGCTTCCCACAACACTAGTGCATTCCCTGGAATTGACTTCTATTGGAACCCCAGGTAAAGGATCATACAGTCCTAGACAAGCAGCCTTGAGGAGATGGGTTAATCCCAAGAATTTAGTGATGGGAACTAATCAGAGCCCTTGACACCAGAATAAAATTACACTGAATTTCCATTTTCCCTCTTTCTTCTTCTTTTCTGACCTGAAGAAAGCATTTGCCTGTTAGCAAAGGCAGACACATCAGCTAGCAGCCTACCGAAACGCATGTCTTCATAGTAATGATAGAGTTTAAGGAGAAAGATCTAGGGACTAATTTAGGCTCTAGAGCAGAGAACAGAATAGAGAGCTGAGCTGAGAATGTGATGCCAGCCAAAATGCCATTCAGTGGGCTAGCCTTTTCTAAGTTCCTATTCTAAGGACATAGGGATACCAGTCTGAGTCGGGTAGGAGTCTGGCAACAGAGAGGGACTTTCAGAAAATGAATGTTCCTAGTCTTGCTTTCCTCTGTTAGTGAGAAATGAATTTCCGTGATTTTGCCTCTATAAAGATTATGTTTTTGAATAGCCACTGGCATCAGAGAGTAAATACATGGGTGTTGTTGGGGAGAAAGGGTTCAGGAGCTGATCTGGCTGGGCTGCAGCATGCCATGTGTTTTGAAGAAATTGATATCTGTACAACCCATCTATTTCTCGTAATGCTTTTGAAGACCAGGGTTATAGAAGTATACTTGGCTTCGTGCCTGTTTGGAATTTTTTGGGGGGTGGAATATGGGCATCTGGTTTTCAGTATCTTGGAGGAGTGTGGCATTTATTGGACAGAGTGAGTGGGTGTAAGGATTAAGTTGTTGCAAATGTTCTTGGTAAAAGTTTCATCTTGGTTCTCAGGCTGTTACCCTGAGTTCCCTACACTTCCCTACACTACACTCAAGCCCCAGGCTTTTGGGGAGTTCTTGGCCAACACTAATCCCCATGGTGTTTTCTTTCTCAGTTGTCACAGATGAGACCTTGAGCTTCATTCAGAAAAGCAGACGCCTCCTGGTTGTCCTAAGCCCCAACTACGTGCTCCAGGGAACCCAAGCCCTCCTGGAGCTCAAGGCTGGCCTAGAAAACATGGCCTCTCGGGGCAACATCAACGTCATTTTAGTACAGTACAAGGCGGTGAAGGAGACGAAGGTGAAAGAGCTGAAGAGGGCTAAGACGGTGCTCACGGTCATTAAATGGAAAGGGGAGAAATCCAAGTATCCACAGGGCAGGTTCTGGAAGCAGCTGCAGGTGGCCATGCCAGTGAAGAAAAGTTCCAGGTGGTCTAGAAGTGGCGAGCAGGGTCTCTCCTATTCATCCTTGAAAAATGTATGAAAGGGACAACGAAAGGGGTAAAAAGAACCAAGGGAACTCCAGGAAGGAAGAGTCCCCTTTCTTTATTCCCAGTGTCTTGTTTCACAGACAGAAAAGAATTCTGTCGAAGCCTCCCCCGAGGGACGTATGCAGGGTGACTGTATGACTGGTTGTTCCTCAGGCAATACTATGGTTTAGAATGGTGGCGCCACCAGTCTGTCACCAGTGTCTGATGTCACTGCGTTCTTCGCAGGCAAAGACTTGGTTGATGCAAATTTCCCCTTTCTGCATCCTCTGTCCCCGTTCCCACATCTCTATTCCCTCTTTCTCTCTCATTGTTTATAATCTTAACAGTGTGGCTTGGATTTCAAGATCCCTTTAAGATAACTCATTTGCTAACAAGGTCTTAATGAGTGTCCAAGTCATTTTCTTTGTATTTTTACTCGTCAGTTAAACAGATAATCAGTGCCCAAATTAATCTGAGCTAATGACAATGAGCTCTTCTGCTCATTCTGCTGGGAAGTGCCGCATCACAGCCAGACTGACACCCACTTAGGACTCTATGAAGCAGTATAACTGAAAGCGTTCCTTACGATGGTTTGAAAGGGCTTGCCTGCATTTTCTCCTGCTCAATCCCTCGTGCCCTCCATCTCAGTCATTGATGTCATATTTGTCAACTTGAAAAACATACCATATTTTTCTTTATTGCAGTAAACTCCTAGATATCCGTAGGTCCACCCGTATTTGTCACTTCATCTTCCCTATCAACTGTACCTCGTATCAACCGTTTAGAGTCTGCAGATGGCTCCACACTTGGTTCAGTCTGACAGGAAGCTTCTAATGGTGCTAAGAGAGAGTGAAATAACAGCAAAATGCTTTTAGGGCATTTTCTGGCTTGTGAGAAAAGCACAGAACAGGCTGTTCAGCAATTTGTCTTTTCATCTCCGCCTTGCTAATGTGAATATTAGGAAAGTGATTTCTCCTCACTTGTTCTGACTCTCCACTGTAAAATGTGGAAGTTAGACTCAATGACCTTGCAAGTTGCTTTTGGCATTAATATTCTAAGAGAATTAACTGGACCACCCAGTATTTTCCATATTTTATTCCCGGTACAGTTAACACACTCACTCCAAACAAGTCAGTCTGAAAAGTCTCTTCCTTGAAACTTGTTTTACTTTGTTTTAAATAAGATTGTACTGTTCTTAAGACTTGGAAAAGTGAAAACTAAGTCCAGAGTTTACAGAGTGGTGAATACCTGCGGTGTACATATATCCATATACATATATACACACACACACATATATACGTATATGCACACACCATGAATTATATATGTATATATATCTACATTGTATATATATACACATGGATTATATATGTGTATATGTATGTATATGTGTACATATATATGCACACACCCTTATGTACACATGCAGGTGACTTTAAATAGCTATTGGCACAATATTACAAACCACTGGAACTCTTAATCCAGTTTTTAAATTATGTTTTTACTGTAATGCTTTTGTGTCGGTGTTTTCTATACATTATTTGTAAATTCACAGCTCACAGTGTAGTAGTTGTTAGTTCTCGCCTTCCCTAAATTAGTATAAATAACTTACTGCTGCTACATTTGGTCTGGGTGCAGTGGAATCTGTTGGACGCAGAGCTTCTATGGTCACTGCTGAGCAGTACCAGTCCTCTGGCATTAACTGATCATCTACTGTGTCGCAAGCACACACTCTTAGAAACTAAACTACAGTAATCTCAGTGTTCAACTACTAGGGAGATAAATCTCTACTTGGACTGTTGAGTAATAGAGAAAAGGAAAATAAAATACCTATAAATAAGCCTGAGTTTCCTATGAAACACCATAATTCAAAATTTAAGGGAACCCTTATCCCAGCATTATGAATGTTGATAACCAATTCTAAAACTATCTCCTGCATTTAAGTGTCCTTCAGCAGTGGTAAAGTCCATAATAAATCATTTCTCTATAGTGGAGTTATTATTTTAAATTGAAGAAAAGAAAAGCTTCATGAATTCTTGACTGTAAAACTATGGTATGGAGTCATTCTTGGATCTGGTTGTTTTGTTTTGTTTTGTTGTCTTACTAATGCTTTTTTTTTTATTACAAACCACAATTACTCCTCCTGTTAACCCTTCATCCTCAAGACCAGAGGAGAGCTGACTCCAGATAAGCTTTGAATATCAATTGCATGAGCTTTAGGTAATGGGAAACAGTCCCATCACAAGGGGCCATTCTCTTGCCAGTGCTGCATTCTTTTGCACTTTTGGATTTGATATTTATCCCAAATGCTTTTGGGTACCCCTAGAAACTTCTTGATATTCTTTTTCCTATTTAAATACTGGTCTTTGATATTGAACTTTTCCAAACGCTAAAATCTAAAACATCTCACATCTAAATGATAAGTGTCATTCTCATAGAATTTTGTTTCAAGGTTTTTTTGTTTGTTTTATGTCCCAGAAGATACCTGATACAAAATTTTTGAAGGAGGTGAGGAAATATAATTTTGACAGCAAGGAGAAATCGCTCTATAATATTAAACAACTATGTCTCTAATGTTTAATAAAAAACCTTAATGGTTTTAGATATATGATATAAAGATCTTCTGCACCCAAGTTAACAAAGAACCATGACATATAAAGTGTCTAATTACACAATCACATAAAATTTATTTATCTTCTATATTGTAACTTAGGTGATTCCCTAGGATTCTAATAAACAAGCACTCCATTGTATTGGGAAAAAAGCATCACTCCACTTGCTAATTATCCATTTCTTTCCATAGGTTTTAATATTTTAAGATTATCTTATTATCTTTTTTATTTTATTCATAAATTTTGTATTTTCCATTTTCCATTTGATTTGTAAATTTGTTTATTTTAAAAATAAACCATTTATTTTCAGATTTGAATTTTATTTTGTGCATGTGTTTTATGTCTTTATTTTCATCTTTGGGCATAAGAAATGAGAATAAGAAGAATTAATGATACGCATTAAAAGAAATGTTAGAAGTTACATTAGTTAAATTTCTCTTTCTGAGAGAAATCTGAGAAAAATGGGAACTTTATATCAAGAACATTTTCTTTACATGTGAATAAAAGAGTTATTTAAATAAAATGAATTGTTCTAGTGTGCCTGTGTGTGCATGTGTGTGTGTGGTTTTGCATGTATGGAGACAGACAGAGGAAGAATAACAGAGCAGCAGAAAGAGAGCAATGGGCTAGGAGATTAAATGTTGCCCTAGTAGTTTTTAGTCACATCTATTTTAAAGCAAATAGAATTTTTAAAATTTATTATTCACTTATAAATCCACATATTAAGGTGATTCTCTAAAGTTACCATGAAGAATTGACTCAAATTCAATTAACATTAGCCCTACTTTAGTTTAATATTGTGTTCACTAGATTTAACCAAAGCGATTAATTCAAATGTCTACTATGTGTAGACATTTACATATAGGTATTTTTAATTTTTAATAATCCTGTAAGTTTATTATATGCATTTTATAGATGGATGAACTCAGACTTAAAGATATTAAGATAAAAACAAATAAATGGAGAAACTAATATTTGAATTCACATTCATCTTCCAAATTTGGTGCCTCCTCCCCTTCCCTTTTTTACTATACTTCATGTTTTAAGAAAGAGAGAGAGAGAGAGACATTTGCTGCCCTTGCATACACCAATAATCTAACTAGAGAACAAAATTACAGTCCTAGTTTTCTTTTAGGTGAATTCCGGGGAGATTATGACTTTTAAAGGCAGGAGTATTCTAGAATGTTGATGAATTCTAGATCAGAAAGCATGAATTCAGAATTAATTTAGTACCATACAAGAAATCTGGTCTCATCAGTCTATAGCCACACCTTACCTTTTTGAGCCCAACAGAATAAATGATCTAATTTATGACTCCCTCTTCGAATAAACTTCAGCATTAAAAAATAACAATTCACATCCTGAACTGCAGTTTTTACAATATGAAAAACATTAAAATATGGCATAAAGGAGGCAGCTTCCTTCAAAGTACTGTGTGAAGACCTTCAGGTATAGCCCATATCCCATCTGATAAGTATCTTCTCCATCCATTCCTCAATGTTACGGAATTCCACCACTCCTATCTGTTTCTTTAGCATTGCCCTATTTCAACTGCAAATTTCACATTTTCAGGATGGGGTACCAATTAAAAAAAAAGAACAATCTTTCTTTAGAGGATCTAGGATAGCACTTTATTTTCCACAATGATGTCCTCATTGGACAGAACATACGTTTCCTTAAGGTGACTATTTTGAAGTACAACACACAATACACACACATGCATGCACACACAATTTGAGCGCACAAATTTCCTTTTGTCAAAATCCATCCATGTTACCTAAAGGTTATATCGTATTTCTCATGAGACAGGAGAAGCAGTAGATTTTCTACTTTTACATTCTCAGGTTTATGAAAGGCAGCTACACAAACTCTCAGTAGGACTGGGACAAAGGAGTTTCCAAACACACACACACACACACACACACACACACACACGGGCTTTGAAGATAAGTGAAAATTTAGATTTATCTTCAAAATTAAAATTCTCTAAAACTACTTCACACTCTTGACAAAACTAGTTAAAATGTCTTAAAAATTGAGCACATGTCTCTTCCAGTTACCCTTCAAATTCATGTTAAATTTACTAATTGGAAAGAACTAATCTGGTAAAGAGCACAGCTCCTTTATTCTCTGTCATATTCATAATGATCAAATTCACTGTAAACTTCCAGCTTGTCTTCACAGGCTAGAAAGTCTCTCCATCACTGTTTCATCCCTGGCCCCAAAAAAGTAGGTACTCAACCTCATGGTCTGTCTGCAGCACCTGTTTTCAGCACTGTCAATGGCTGTGATTTGATTTACACATTTGGAAATTCTTTCCTTCAGAAAATCACATTGTTTAATTCCTTAAATCTCATGATGAGCTAAGAACCACATTTATCTCAGGGACTTTCCTTTGGAATCTCTGACTAAACCCACCTCAGTAACTATTAAAAGTTAATGCTTTGTCAGAAGTCTTAAACTAATTGATTCCTGCCCATTGTCTATGTTGTTACCCCTTTAAATGATTCGTAGTCCTATTCTTCACACATATACATAAAAAAAGAAGGAGATTTTAGTTGATAAGAAGATCAATACTATG